TAAAATTGCGTAGGCAGCACTGCGACCACTTTTGACGTTTCACGAAGGCTAGCGTCAATTTGAAAAGTAGTTCTGAGATCTGGCGTACCTCTGTGGTAGAATGCTTGACTGCCACGCAAAATGCTTGGGTTCGATTCCTGCTGGGACCAGGAAATGTATTATTTGCATTCGTCGGGTGGCCAACGCTTCCTAAGTAAGGTTATTCTTAACACTGACATTTATTATATGCCTTCGTTGGGTCGACGCTACCGATATCGGGTATTGCTTAACGCTCACGCGTTAAAATTGCCCATCTGTGTTCTCGTCGTTCCTGGGTAGATACTAAGTTTCAATCACCTGCAGCACATACCCGCTTACCAACGACACATACCCGCCCGTGAGTATGTGCCACTGTCCGACGGGAAGTGTTTGACGACGTACGCGACGGGATTGTGACATTATTAAAGTCTCGATCAGCGCGTCATATTCGTCAAACCAATTTACCCTCCCATGCTAACTTTGGTTCACGTCAAGTTAAGGGGGTGACCACGAGAGCACCCAAACGTAAGGAGCTAGATAGATAGATAGATAGATAGATAGATAGATAGATAGATAGATAGATAGATAGATAGATAGATAGATAGATAGATAGATAGATAGATAGATAGATAGATACGCTCAAAGTCGCCAAAGTTCGCTAAGAAATGCTTCGCATTTAAAGTAAACCTATTATCAATGACACAGTGGCGCGCGAACCCGGGTCCAATGGGTGCCAGCCCAGTATTCTACCACTAATCTACGCCGGTGATTTGGACTTGGCAAACTTGCTTTAGGCAGGCTTGATGCCGGAGAAGCAGTCGCATTAATATGACTTATAAGGTGTTTTGAAACAGCGAAAGAACAACCATTCGTCGCACAATGCGAATAGCGTAACGAGGGCTTAGTCCAATGCTCCAATCCCTTACAAAAGCTTGTTCTTGTACTCCTACAAACTGTGGCGCATACCCACTTCAGGCATGATTCCCCGTCGTTGTCAGCCACTGCATGAACAATTGGAAAAACATTCCTTGCGATTGTTAAGCTAATACCAGGCTTCTCAGAAAAATGACAAAATATAGCATAGTAAATGCCGTCCTACTACCCAAAAATATTTATTGATCATGGCGTAGTGGGTATCAAGCAAGTATGCTTGCAGCAGTTACCCAATGAGTGTTTAGAAAAGGCCCTGAAAGGCCGCTCTTACATTTTTCGCTGTGATTTTGCTGCGCCTTCCGCGCCGGCCTGGCGTGAACTGTGATGCCATATATAACCACACTATATGCTCGTTAATGAACTATCATTTCTTTTACTGGTAGAGGCACCAAACTTTAATAATAATATTAATATTAATTAACTTTTTTAGCGAGCTCAGGAACAGCATTTGGGTATTTTCGAAGGCGCACGCAAAAACAAAACAATAAAGCTAAACAACAACAATGAATGTGGTGTCAGACGTCCCAAAACCACGATATTAATATGAGTCATGCTGTTGTACAGGGCGCCAAAAATTTTGATCATTTGGTGTTCTTTACGGTGCGCTGACAATGGACAGTACGTTGGCCTTTACCGTTTGGCCTCCATGGAAAGGCGACCGTGGCACGCCGGATCAAACCCGCTATCTTCAGGTACGGGAGCACCGCAGCCACCACAGCATCATGGCGGACATCATCATCCCCATTCTGAGACGATTTAAGTACGTTGCAGGATCAAAGCCTCTCGCAATTATCTATAGTTTACCCTAACCTGTGCTAGCTGATTATATTTTATGGACTGGCGAAATGAACAAGTGCAATCACAAGGTAGTTAAGAGGCTACAAACAATGTCTACTTCTGCCTTCCAAGGTTTTCTTATATGTCAGTTTTATGAGGTTATCAATGTGAGGTTTTGGAAAAGTTTTCTTTTCTTTTGAGAGACGCGACTAGCCCATTGCGTGCTAGTCGCGTCTCTCAGGACTTTTAATAAAGTTCCACCATCCATCCATCCATCCATCCATCCTTGAAAGTTAAACTGAAAGTATCACTTTCTACCACCTTTAACTGGGCTTCAACAACAACAGGCATTACCACACCGGGAAAACAAGCTGTAGTAAGGCAAGACTTGCGAAGATAAAAGATGATCCGCAGGTTGTGTATATGCACAAGACTTCCGTTGCACAGATTCGAAGCTTGCGGAAGCAGTCGCCCGTTTTACGGTCTGGAAAGGTTCTCAAAAAATACAATGCCAAAAAAAAAAACTCAAACCCTTTATGAACGGGCGCCTCTCACGTTACTTGAGCCATTCCCTTCGTACTTCAAGCACATTTAAAAATTCTGGCACTGACCCACCAGGCTGTTTATCTGAATGTCTTGAAAATCTTCAACATAGCTAGCTTTTTACCCACCCATTTCATGCTTGATCAGCGTTACCACTAGAACCACTTCAACTCACCCGATTTAATTTTGTGAGTACTATTGCCTGGAAGATTCAACAACATCTGTTTATTCCATAAAAAAGCATCAATTATTCAATTATTTGATCTGCCAACACTCAGAGAAGTCAATGTACGCTGATGAAGATGCCTCACCCCTCATGGGCATGAGATGACCATGCTTCGAGAGATTCGGCTACTATGTTAATATAGCAAATCATGTCATCATTTCAAGGCTCCTTCTCTCCAAAAAATCCTCTGAGTCCATTTTTATTACACTTGATGAAAAGAACAAAGCAGTAGGCATAACAAAGGCGCCCCACCGAAAGCCCAACTGAGGGTGACGTTTATTTATATTTTGATTGAATAAAACTTCAAACTCTCAACCTCATGGAAGTCCGTGTTAACTCTTTCGTAACATCAGACGCACTATTACGCTGTGTTGTGTGTATATAGAAAAAAATTTAGTGGCCCTCGAAGCTTCGCCTTCAACAGTTGAACGCGATGGCGATGTCGTGTTCCTAGTGCATACTTCAAATACTTAGTGTATATAGAACGTGTTGGAACTTGCTCTACAATGACTACGTGGCTTAAGGGAATATGTCCAGAAACGTGGGTGCCATTTGTAGTGAATGACCGGCTTTAAACCACGAACTAAATATGATAATTACATGTTCCAACGCTCGCTAGCAATGGGTGCTTGCACCACGCATTATTACTGCAATGTTTTATGTTGTGTTGTGAAGCATGTATGCAGGACATGTGTGCTTGTAAGCAAGCAAGTTACTTTCAGTGCATTTTCTAGTAGAGGAATTCACTGTCACTACGCGAAAGCTGACTTGTGGCCGAGGGGTAGAACATCGGCTTACCACGCAAACTACCCGGGTTCGATCCCCAATCGGATCCAAATGACCACAGTTCAATTACTACTCTGCCCCAGGATTCTTTTATCAATTATAAAATTGCATCGTTCTTGATTTTCGGTCAGCATAAGACAAATTTTCGCTCACAACCACCGACGCCTGAATTTCTGCAAAATGAGCTCTTTAGCGCTATTGTGTTAAGACCCTAGTTTCGGCACAGTAGCTGCGTTAGAACAGCTGGTTGCTCCGTGTCAAGCATACGAGCCTTGGCACTGCGTCTTCTCTACCAGACGTTAAGTTGCCTGCCCTTCACGCATGATAACTTAATGATCAGGAAGCAGGAGAGAAGGATTTTACACATGTATGCTCGATTTGATAATTACTAGATGCAACCAGAAACTTGTTCACATCGATTTATCTTGAAGGACCCCTGAAACCAAATTTTGAAACTCGAGATGCTTGTGTTAGGGTATTTCTGACCGCATACCAGTGGCGAGCGTAGCCAATAAGATAGTTTAGTTTGGTTTCAAAATAAGGGCGCAAGTTTGTCGGAGCATACAGGTGCAATTGGCATTTTCTGTGGTTTGGCGTAGTTAAGGGATTCCCTCGGGACGTTGCAACCCCTCCCGCTTGGTTTTCGGGCAGGTCTGAAGGTAGTTGTGGCTGCTCAAGCGAGTAATGCTTTCTTTTTTTCTGAGGAGAAACACTCGAAGCATCCATATCGTTTCGATGTTCACCCCGCTCCTCCCATGGTCCCCATATTTGAAAACAGTGCGTTCAGCGACACCAAACCTTGAGCGCACAAAGTCTCAGCCACTGCCCCGCTGTGGGGCGCAAGTTTTTTACGGTATTCAGACGGGCCCTGCTATACAAATTGAAGTAAAGTCGTTAGGCATTAACTACGCTAGCATATATTATACGATGCATTACAGCATTTACTATTTGATTTCGGCATTGCCATACGCAAAGCTACAAATTACCCAAAAAAGTCTCAAACGAAACTTTCGCTGTCAGGGGTCCTTTAAGGAATACAACGAATAACTTGACACCAGACATTGACATCGATGATATGTCAGAGCATCGTATGCATATATCTGCGAGAGAGTCCGTTCAACTACTCGCAATATGTGCCTTAAGCTGCTGCATATCATAAAAGCCCTACAAGGTGACCACCTCTTATGAGATACACAAGGTTTATGATGAAACGTGGTAGCAATGTGTTCGTATAGACATAAGGGAAGAATGTAGGCCCCTACATGACATAACTGTAGATCTACAATCCCTGATCCTAAGTATAAATACACTGTGAAGTCACGTGCTTGCTCTACTGTGCAACTGGAGTGTGCCTTTTGAAAAAAAAAAAACAAGAGCAGCCTCAGGTGTTTTCTCACGTGTTTCACGCACGTCAAGCGTTCTTTAAACAACCTTTATAACCATGCCCAGCCTAACGAGCTACTTCGGGCTTAAGCCCTTGAGACACTCGGTGCATCGACCCAGCCGTCACCAAACGACTGAGAAAAAACGAAACCGCAAAATAAAAGAATTGAACAACACGCGGCCGTTGGCTAGTGCGCGCTGGACGGGCTGCTCGTGCATAAGCAAAGCGCGTAAACAACACGCCGGGCAATATTTTCGGACTTCCCGCGGCCTTGAGTAAGGGAACCAGGGCACCAAAAGGGCAACGCCAACAGAACAGGGCCGCCAAACTTACCGCATGACGCGTCCGCTCCAGCGTCTTCGTCCGGCTGCTTTTGCTTTGGTGCAACGTCCGCTGTCCGCAACGGTTCACCAACCAATTCCGTAGGTTCGACAACCGCTTCGATGGCTACAGTCGCACTTAGAATTGCGGGAGCACTCGCCCCGCTGGTGGCCGGTTCGGAGGCCGTCGGTGATTCCAGTTCCTGGGATGCCTTCTTGGCGCTTCGTTTTGCACTCGAGCTACTGCCGCTGCTACTAGAGCCACTCGCTAAGCTGGCAATCTTGATTTTGGACGCCTTCTTCACCTTCTTCACCTTCTTCACTTTCCGTGGTGTTTTGCCTGGTGGCTCACCGGTGTCGGGTGTCGATGGTGGTGTAGTCACAGTTTCAACCTGCGGCGAAGCAAGCGGGGAAAGGGCGGTCAAACCCGATGAACTCGAGAGCACAGAATGACCACTCGATTCAGAATCTTTGCTGCGCCTAATCTTATTGAGGCGATTATCCACTTTGGCTTCGGCTGAACCGGCACGCGGTGCAGTTGCAAGTGGTTGCGGCTTGTCCAATATGGGCGAAGACAGGTCGGGAAGCGCAGCAGAACGCTTTTTCAGTGGAAGCGAAGTGGGAATGGCAGGTCTCGGTCCAGCTGGTGGGATCTTGTCTTGCTGTGCTACAGCTGGTGTCTCTTTCTTGGGAGGAGGCGTGGGCGCAAGCTGAGGCTCCTGCGTTGGTTTGGACGGTGGGACCGTGTCTCGAGATTTCGAAGTAACCATGGCCTCTGGGGGAGGCCCCATTGGTATAGGTTGCTTCTTTTTCAACTCGAGCATTCCCTGAGGCTCTTTGGACTTGAACGCTAGCCTTCCCTGTGGTTCTTTCTTGCGGAACTCAAGCATACCAAGAGCTGTCTTTTTGGCTGTCATGTCGGCGACGGGGCTCGATTTCTCGGTGCTCTCCTGTTTTGTGTCAACCACTTTTGGTTGAGGCCCTTTGGACGTGACAGCCTCCTTAGGAGCAGGCTTTATAATGTCAACATCCCGATGTTTGTCCACAGGTGTCGAATTTGGCTCCAGCTTTTGCTGCTGCTGCGTTTGGAATGGCGGCTTCTTGTCAGACCTTTGAGGTGTCGGTGCGTCTTCTGGCACTTGCTGTTTAGGTTGCGGCACAGCGGAACTTTGAAGCTTAGAAGCAGCCAGCTGCGAACCAGTTACGTTTGAAGTGGTCGGAGGCTTCACGTCCTCCGTTTTAGATTTTGATTGCTCTTGAGTGCCGAGCTTCGGCATGGTTGGAGTCACTTTGTTGACTAGCTTGGGCTTGTCTCGAGCTTCTGGAGTAGATGGTTGACTAGATTTAGGCGACGGACTAAGAGCCTTTGCATCTTTTTTTGCTTTGGACTGATCTTGTTCCGGTTTTTTACCCGTCTTTAACTGGGCGAGAGAAGAAGCTACCTTACCAGTTTTTGGCACTTTTTTCAGTCCTTGTAATGTGTTTGCAGCTGAAGTAGTCATGGCTTTGCTGTCATGGACTGTTTCCTGAGCGGAATTATCCGTTTTCTTTGGGGGAAGTTCCACTGTGACTACAGCTGGAGATATTTCTCGCGTTCTTGCTTGTACAGATTCATCACTGGCTTCGACGCAATGCCCATTAGGGGTAGGAAGGCAATGCGCTACGCTACCAACGGTATCAGGCACCGGAGAGATATCTCCTGACAAGTTTTTGCCTTTTGGCTTCTTGAGCTTTACGACCACAGTCTCGTACATCTCGCTCACCTTCGGAAGTTCGATCGTGGGTGTTGTTTCTCCATCGGTTACGTCTTGCTTTTGTGCAAGTCCATTGATTTCGGCTTTGTCAGGTCTAGACGATCGCGTGCGCTGCTTAGAAATGGTTGAGCTTTCGCTTTGTTGTGACACACTAGAAGTAGCAGAGCTTAGAAGTTCTTCCGAGGCAGTTCGGTTTCTCATCCTCCGTCTTCTTCCGACGCGGTCATCTGCATGGTCTTTCTGGACAGTGGCGGCTAAATCATCACTGAGCTTCGCTTCCACTTCCTTGATTGCAGTTGTCGCAGGTAGCAAGTCACGCCTAAGCTCTTCCAGAACAACCGGTGGTGCGTCGAGGCCCAAGATGTCTTCGAGGTCAACCGGCGACTGAACAGACTGACATTCCTTAAAGCTGCCGATTCCAGAGTCAACGGAACGTGTGCTATGACCAGAGCCGTCTTGCCTCGTTCGGGATACGACCGGGCTCGACTCGTGCAACGTCGGGTCCTCCCTGAACTTTACGACGTGCCGGTGCCTGGTAATAATGCCCATAGATTCGCGCCTCTCCTTGGATCCTCTCGCCGGTCGGTCGCAGGTGGCGAGGGCGGGTCGCTCGCGCAATATGGGTCGGTACTCGTCGTACCAGGATGATGCATATGTGGACTTGTAGTAACTGGACACGGGAGACGGGCTGGAATCGCGTCCAAACCTCCGCAAGGGTGGCGGTGGCGTGAAACCCCGAGCTGGTGAGCGACATCGTTGGAAGTCGGCGCCCATGTTGGACAGAACGTAGTTCGCCGTCGAGGCCAACGCTGTCGAACTGGGCCTGAAAAGACATTCCGAGGATCCCCAGCTGCTGTCCCTAAACCTACGCGAGAGCGATGGGTTGCGTCCTTTGTTGAGGTCCAGGGAGCTCTGGTGCAGCGCCGACCTGGACCGAGGCGAGGCGTCGAAGGGCGACGACGAGACTGAGAAGGCTGAGCTGGCGTAGTAAGTGGGACTCCCTAGTGGGGTCCGGGCACGCCGCCTCACGGAAGACATGATGCCCGACGATTTGCCCGACAAACGAGTACGATAGGCTTCGCGACGATAGAGGCACAAGCGGCAGGTAGAACGTGTTAGGAATCCACGTGTTCAATCACTTCCTCATCAGCGGTACATTCACGGTGCGTCGAAACAGGCGCTGTGGTGGGTCGAAGCGGTGACATGCGGTCTCACTCACTAGCACACCAGCTCCTCGAACAAAACACACAATCACGGTCGAGGAGAGCGTCGAAGTCTGTAAGCTGCATACAGGATGGAGACTCCGAAGAACTCGCTGGTCGGCGCCAGCTCTCAGCCGATCCTTGGTGTCGCAGCTGAGCACGTCAAGTCCACTGTTGTCGAACGAACGTCAGGTGTCTCCTGCTGCGTGGCGCTGCGCGGTCCGCGCACCACGGAGGGGAGTCGCTGCTCTGCAGAACTCCGCCGTCTTCGTCTCACGTGCAGCGCTAGAGCGCGGTGGCCTGGGGTTGTAGCAGCGGCACACGGCCACGGCGAGGAGGCACGCAAGGAAGGCGAGGGCAGCGGCTCTGGAGCGCGTGGCAGCTGTGTTCTAAAATATCGCGCCCACCTATACCGCTACCACCTTGGGCCACGGGCAGCCCGCGGGTTCCCTTCCACCTGGAGCCAGGCCAGGGTTGGGAAGAAGAGAGAGGAAGGGTACAGAAAAGCGCGGGCCACCGTGGGACGCTCGCTACCACCCGTTACGTAGACTTCGAACGATGCTTACGGTATGAACGCAATCGGCATGATGGATGCCTCGTATAAAAAAAGTAGACCCCTTTAGGTAAAGATGCATGAAGGAACGTAGTTGCTTACACGTATTAGTGACAAAAACATGTACTCAATGGATCTAACCTGATAAGTGGAATCAAGGCTAAGTTCCCGCTGTGACGGTATCCACGTAATTCTTTTCTTTAATGGTTGCGACAAATCCATTCCAATAATGAAAAAGATATAGATATATAGGTATAGGCCACACCAAAGTGATACGCTGTCTTCCTAAGATGTATATAGAGTGCTCTGAGAATTTCGCAACACAATATGCTTGATTACTGCGCCACATGCAACCACTGAAACGAAGGCGAGGCTAATAAGTTGAACAATGTGCCTTACCAAGTAAGTGTCTTCGTCCTGAGCAGGTGTCGAAGGATTCATAGAAGTAGAAAGAGTACGTAGTCGCGGCTCAGCAAAAAAAAAAAAAAAAAACCATCTGTGACGCAGTATTTCATGTAGCCGTTCTTAAGACCTACTCGCTCTCGTTTGAACTCAGCATTGTATAGCGAATTTAAGTTTTGCCGGCTGGCAAGGAGTAAGTGCTCGTACTACGTGTACTTAGCTATTGCCGCCGTGAACCCGCCATAGTTACAAATGAAGCCCACTTTTCAGTTTTATTGAGCCTTTTCTTCACAGAGTTGCGAAAAAGAAAACGCAGGGATAAGAGCAAAAAGGGGCTATGTTAGCAGCTTGACGAGGCTCCTACCAACAACACGTTACCAGTGACCGCCATCGACAGCGAGATATGCACTCACGATCGTTGTGAACAGCACGCGCGTTAAGTCACCTGCGAGCGCCTGATATACAATACGACAGCTGCGTAAACTATTCATTTTAATGGAGCTTCTTTGGTAAAAATACCATAACTATCACAAAGAACGTAAGTTGTACCGCATGTCAACACTGTTTATCGCTATTGTAGGCATGGCAGATGTTTAACTATATGTGTTAACAGTAGCAGTGGGAACAACTTCTTCCAATATTCTTAGCTTACATATTCCATTTGTACAACATTCGGCCATGCGAACACAAGTGAGAGCGGATACAATGTCTACACGTATACCTTACGAGATCTGGAACTGTGTGTACTGCTATGCGAGCACATGCGAATGAGAATAAGAAAAAAGTAAAAAAAAAACATCAGTAGAATAATCCATTCACTCTCCCCTTCTCTTCAAAGAAAGAATAAGAAAATATATGATTCATTAGCAGTGATAGGCAGAGTGGCTTCAATTCGGATGAGAAGAAAGCTTTAAAAAGTTATCGTGAAGGATACGAATTGAAAAGTACAAAAAATAAATTTAACATAACCTAAAGAAGCAAGAGTGACGCGAGACACGTGGCGACAATGCGGCGTAAACTCGCTTTCGCAATGACAAAAGAAAAAGTTTGGTTCGCGCATCGATAAAGCGCCGATACAAAGCATCTACGAACGTGGCTGGGTACGAACGTGTTTTTTCACGTCGCAGGCTCCACAAACGCGTCAGGCGAGTGTACGGCGATTTTTCGGACACGCGTCACGGTACGTGGCAATAAAGGAAAAAGAAAATGGAAAGATGCCAGACAGGCTCCCCGTGATTATTTTAGATGTCCAAACAATAACGGCGAAACACGCACGTTTGCAATATAAAGACATCGGTTTGTCCAAAGGTCTCGTCGAGACGGTTCAGCAGTAACGGCTCAGTTTTTGGAAGCCCCCATTTTCGGGTTTGTGCATTTTATGAACTTGCTTGTCATTTCGGTTCTCAGCGGAAAAATAAATAAACGAAATTTTCCGCTGGCTGCGCGGCGTTAAAATTGCCGGAGTGGAAAGGCAAAAGCGCGGGAGCGTACGCCCTTGGCTGCCGAGATAACGTGGTGTCGTAAATGCGCCGCCAGATCCAGACTTGAAGTAGGCGCGATTACACATATTGATTTGATTGATTTGTGTGATTTAACGTCCCAAAACCACCATATGATTATGAGAGACGCCGTAGTGGAGGGCTCCGGAAATTTAGACCACCTGGGGTTCTTTAACGTGCGCCCAAATCTAAGCACACGGGCCTACAACATTTCCGCCTCCATGGGAAATGCAGCCGCCGCAGCCGGGAATCGAACCCGCGACCTGCGGGTCAGCAGCCGAGTACCTTAGCCACTAGACCACCGCGGCGGGGCCGATTACACATCTTGATCGTCGTGTTATCATCACCATAATAATCAAAATAATTTAAATACAAATAATCACCCTTTACAATCAACACGATCCTGTTAAGCCCAAACTCCATAAGCGCGAAAATGCACGCGACAGCGACGAGCGACGCTATGAGCGACGAAACAGGGCGTTCGCGCGACGTGTCGCGTGCTCGTTTTCGCGCGATCGCTCGGTTTTCCATATTTGGTAACCGTCGCTCATCGCCCGGAAGTGCTGGGCTCAAGCAGCCAATAGCGAAATACCGGAAAAGACAAAGACTACATAGGTGCACGTGACCCTGCCCGAGTCACGTATGCGCAACAAGAAATAACGCAATGTTTATTAAGCATGCGCATATAAAAAATGCTGTAAGGCAATAATAAACACTTTCCGTTCCATTACACAACAATATATCTTATTTTTAAATTGGAAACCGCTCGCTACGCGGTTTTCTTGATGCGAGTTGATGGCCTCATGCCAGCAACAGTGGAATTCGCTCGCCGAAGCCGTCGCGTGAATGAGGTTTGCCTGCGCTGGCGACTGATCGCGCGACGCCGATCTACGTCGCGTCGCTCGTCGCTGTCGCGTGCATTTTCGCGCTTATGGAGTTTGGGCTTTAAGTATTGCCACGATCATCATCACTCAGCATTCCCATTTGTCTTATTTATTTATTTATTTATTCATTCACTTTTCTTTCAAGTCACGTGGCCTGCATGATGCCTACAACAACGACTGCGACCATTAGTACTACTACAATTACTGCTACTACCCCCACTGCTACTACTACTATTACTACTACTACTACTAATAATAATAATGATGATAATAATAAAACTATCACTACTTTCATCACTACTACTAATACTACTGCCACAATGATGAGTCATAGATGACGACAACGGTGGCAGAGGGTAGGCTATAGGACAGCTTGATGAAAACGAAAACGTTGGCTATAGCATTGAAGATCCCGCTGCTCGGTGCAGACATGCTGTGGTATGATATCGTTGGCACGGTTCTCCAGCGAGTGTTGTTGGCCGGGGGACAGCCTTCCAAAAAATTTCCCAAGCATGTCTCGCCTAATGACAGAATACTTGCATAACAGTCGAGAAATGCCGCGGCGAAAAATTGTTTCTCCCGCATGATGGCTGTTTGTCTTGCACACTATACTTCAAGGCTGCCCTTTACGCTTAGAAAACGCCGGGCTAGTGCCTCTTCGTGCAACGATGATGGCGCCGCCTAGTAAGCCATTTCAAAGCGACATGAATGGAAAAGCGTTGCACGCAAACAGCGCAAGCTGGAAGCAGAAAAAGATTAGAAAAATCTCAGATTACGAAAAGATTATCAACGCCGTTGTGAGGCCTCCCATACAAGGTCCTGCGTTTTACAGCTTCTGTGATAGATTGGTTGGCCACCGTGGTAACTTAGGAAGAAATGAAGAAATATGAACGGTGCGATAATTCCCACGTGTACACACAAAAGAAAGAGCATGGGCAAACGCTAAATGACCACCTTCGTGAGCTCAATATTGCGCAAAACGCTAAAGGTTTTTAGCTATTCATTGCCATTGCTGCGAATGCACCCCCCTGTTCTAAGATACCACAATAAACAGCACAAATCAGGACCAACGCACCGTTCATATGGAACAACGAGGTTCACCATGCATCAGTATGGCATCAGCCTGTTTGTCGACGAAATAATTACATTATTACGAAAGACACTTGTTATCATGCCACGATATTGCCACGTTCTTTCCTCAAGTTTTCTTATCACCCTGTTACACTGTACGCTATTCTCAGCACAAACTGCGCCCACAATGTTCGAGAAGCTTCGGGATGGCAGTACATTATTTTGTTACGCCCATTTCGTGAACAGTACTGCTTATTTCGGAACCTACGTCGCCGCTGGCGACAACGCTAGAAGGTTCGATGACAAATGCATAAATGCCGACACCCTTCGCCGCTTGTCAGTTGATCGACAGCTGACGCTTCGTTTGCCGCTATCAGTGCAAAACTTATACTGTAATCCGACTTTCCGTTTACCGGGCGCAGGTTCGCCCAAATAAACTCTTTGGTCTCAACATACAGTCTCCTGTCTTTGGGCACGTCATGACCCCGAGACATCTGGTGGAAGTGCTGGGTGAACGGCTTGACGGGGGTGACCCGTACATAAACGATGCCACGTGATAAGCAAGTCCGAAGTGAACCGCAGAGAACAGCCGCCATCGCTGCATTTCCGCCGGCCGCCGACAAGAAGGCCGTGCGTCGATTTCTCGGCCTGTGCGCCTATTACAGGCACTTCGCCCGAAACATTGCCCGCATCGCCAAGCCACTGACTGACCTTACGAGGATCGACGTCAATTTCAAATGGGAAACGCCACAGGAGGAAGAAGTTGGGGAACTAAAACGACGCCGGAAGATGCCTCCGATACTCGCGCATTTCGACGAAAACGCCG